ACAAACGTATGTGCCATTAAAACCATGACTTGCAGAAGAGCCTGGGCGGCTTTGCCGGTTAAACATCCAACTTTGGCTCGGGTCATAATCTCACAGTTCTTGGGTACAAGTTCTGTGCTGACAGCTCAGAGCCTGGAGCCTGCTTCGGATTCTGTGTCTCGGTCTCTGCCCCTCCCCCACTCACGCGGTCTCTTTCTCTCAAAAATAAATAAAACATTAAAAGAAATTTAAGAAGAAAACCATGCCTTGTATTAGCATGAAAAAAATAAAAATCAAAAATAAACACTCATCCACAGCACAGTGTGCCCACACCTGAGAGTCTGGAATATTATCAAGGCACCATTCTAAATGAAGTAAAAAACAGCTCTCTTCACCAAGGAACAATACTAAAATACAAGAGCACCTTCAACATGTTTCTTTTTTAAAGTTTATTTATTTGTTTTGAGAGATTGAGAAAGAGAGAGAGGGGGAGAGAGGAGAGAAATCCCATGTAGGACTCAATCTCATGACCCTGCTTCCAGATCATGACCTAAGCTGAAATCAAGAGTCAGATGCTTGGGGCACTTAGGTGCCTCAGTTGGTTAACCATCCAACTCTTGGTTTTGGCTCAGGTCATGATCTAGCTGTTTGTGAGTTTGAGACCGGCATCGGGCTCTGCACTGGCACACGGGGCCTGCTTGGGATTCTGTGCCTCCCTCTCTCTCTGCCCCTCCCCCACTTGCACTGTCTCTGTCTCTCTCAAAATAAACTGAGCCACTCAGGCGCGCAAACCTTTAGCATGTGAAGAAGGCACATTTAAGTACAAGTTCTTTTGTAAACATAAAACTTTGGGTTGCAAGTGACTTGTTCTGCTAGTGTTCCCCAAGAGAAGCAAACACTTCTAACAAATATTAACTTGATAAATGAGCGTGTCTTACAATTCGAACAGTACGTGACACCCAGTGTGACATGATCACAACTGAGCCAATGGTTCCTGAAATTCGCTTTGATAGGAGAAGAGTGCTTTGGATGACAAGCATGTTTCCGAACGAATTACGCTCACAGACCAAGGTTTTCCTGTCGTGTGCATGGAAGCAAGAAAACGAACTCCAGAGCTCCACAGAGCTGGGCATGAACCCTGATTTTGCTACTCTTTACAAGTCTCACTTGGAGCAAGTTGTACAACTTCTCTAAGTTGGAACCTTCTCATCACTGAAAATAACTAATACCACCTGATGCCAGAGAACAAAAGCTAGAGAAGTCAACATATGGGAAAGCACCTTCCCAAGTCCTAAAACGTGAGACAGCCCCCCAAAATAGGGAAAGCTTCAAAAAAAAAAAAAAAAAAAAAAAGATTAGAATCAGTTCAGGAACAAGTATCTCCTGAATGGGTCACTGAAGAAGGTGTGGGGTTCAGGGCATACTCCTAGTCAGGTGCCTTCCGAAACTGCAGCCAGCGTCAGAAGCCATCTTATAAGTTACATGGGCCCTGAAGCTAAGTCTTCCCCACACCTGACAGGACCATCTGTGTCAACTCTTATCCCACACCCCGCTTGCTCTCCCTGGCACAAAAGGTTACAGCATGCCAAAAATAATGCATAGGAGGTAAGTAATAAAGGAAAAATGACTGAGGCTTTGAAGAAAAACCATTACTTTGTTCATCTTTACCTGCTCCTCAGAAAGATATGCTTTGCTTGTTTAATTATTTTTTCCAGAAGCCCTTCACTGGATTGTAATGAATTAATCTCGTTTTTATCAAAAGCCTGGGGACCCGAAAGTCTCATTCTCTTGTGACCAAAAGGTGCGCTTGCTGGATGAGGCATCGTGATGGAACTCAAGGTCTGTTTATGAAACTGTAACAAGAAGAGCCGTTTTCAATTAATTTTCATACCGAAGCATAACTGACATAGAACGTATTAGTGTAAGGCAGACAATATCATGACCTGATGTTAGTATATACTGTAAAATGATTCAAAATAATCCTAGTTAACATCTGTCACCGTAAACAATTGCAAATTTAAAAAACTTTTTTTTTTCTTTAAAGCAACTAATACTTACATATTTAAGGCAGGGGAGGCTGGAATACATACTTCTATTAAGTTTCTCAGGGGATTCTTTTGAAATTAGCCTAAACTGTGAGCCAGCACTCTGCAAACACAGTTCTAGTTAACCTGTAAGCAGAATATGTCCTGAAATAACTATCCTGTTCACAGGCTCTGGCATGACACTTTCCCCATCACTCAATCAGAATCACTTTTCCCTCTGTACCCTGCACACTTTCCTGGTGCGTCTGTATCAAGCTTCAGGTTTATTTCTACCACTAGAAGCTAAGCTTGTGAACACAGACTGAGAATTCCGATTATCGGCGTATTCCCCCAACACAGAGCAAGGATCCTTCACATCACAGACGGTGAAAGCCATCACTAGGGGAATAACGAGGACTCAGCAGAGAGGAGCCTGTGCACATTCACCACACTGGGTATGCTTACCAAAACGCAAGAAGAGACATTTATTCCATTACCTCTCTAATTAGTAGATGCAAATTATGCTCTAAGACATAAAGATGGTCCTCCGGACTTTGCTTCTCAGTAGCACATTTTTGGGATTTCTTATCATTTGAGGAATGGCATAAAGAAATCAGTAACTGCAAGCCTATTTATAAAAAGAAGTAGGACAGATGCAAATAACCGAAGATACAGAAAAGCACAACTGTCTTCATAAAGTATAATCACAGCCCTTTCTCAAAAGAGCATTCTAAACTTGGAGATCAGACTTCACGATTACCATTTTCACACCAAAATGACTATTCAGGAATATAATAAACCATCACGTATTTTAACAATTCAAGTTCTATTGACCTACAATGTGGCTGTTGACTTTGAGCTGTGGATAAAGAGAGTTCAACAGAAACTGTATGTGAATTAGTTTCTTCTTGCCTTTACATTAAAAACAAAAAACACAACACCATTTTTGAAAAAACAAAAAACACTTAGTTGGGGCGCCTGGGGGACTCAGTCAGTTAAGCGTCCAACTTCGGCTCAGGTCATGATCTCGCGGTTCATGACTTCAAGCCCCACATCAGACTCGCTGCAGTGAGCACACAGCCTGCTTCCAATCCTCTGATTCTGTTTCCCTCTCTCTCTGCCCCTACTCCATGCTCACTCTCTCTTCTCAAAAATTAATATTAAAAAAAAAAAAAAACCTTGGAAAAACAACAAAACACCCCACCAAGTGGGTATCTGGTCTTGTTGAAAGACAAATCTCTTCCTTGCTGTCATGAAAGCATGGATGGAATTTTTCACTTGTAAAACCCATTCTTTTGACAGGACTCAAGAAGCTACATCTCACAATTTTATTTTATTTTTTTTTTTTTTTTTAATTTTTTCAACGCTTATTTATTTTGGGACAGAGAGAGACAGAGCATGAACGTGGGAGGGGTGAGAGAGGAGACACAGAATTGGAAACAGGCTCCAGGCTCTGAGCCATCAGCCCAGAGCCCACGCTGGGCTCAACTCCCGATCAAGGAGATCGTGACTCAAGCTGAAGTCGGACGCTAACGAATTAAAACAACGTTTCCTCACTTTAAAAACAAACAAACAAACAAACAAACAAACAAAAATCAGTGACACGGCTTAACAACAAATTGATCTCCAGGGCAATTCCAACTGCTCTTAATAATATAATTAAATCCCACTCTTGCCAAATTTAGGAATATTACGGGTATTTAATAACCACTGTCTCTGACATCTTATTTAGCCAGTAGGACAGGATCCCTGGGAAATAGTCCAATTTAACGGTGTCAGCAAACACCTCAAAGCAACTGCTGCTGAATAACAGCCTTGCTAGTACACGCCAAGGTGATGTGGTTTAAAATCCAGGAGTGACACTACTAGGACACAGACTAGAATTGGAGACGCGTTGTGTCTTGGCGCTAGCTATGAGCCACCACTATGGACAGTGCCTGCCACCGCTGTGCTCTTTACTGTTCCCTCTAACGCAGCCAACATGTAACTAGCCCTCTGGCCCTGTTCCCCAAACGACAAAGTCCTATTTATAAACTCAAAAAGGTTGGCTGCTCTTACTTGGAAAGGGCTGAGGAGATAATCTGGGTTTTTCACCCGAGGGATCTGTGACTAATTGGAACAGCTTCCCCAGAGAGCAAAAAATTCCCTTTACACAAGAGAACGCCTGTGCTGCTTCTAATTGCCTGCCAATGGGAAACCTGAAAGACAGGGGACATATGGTATATCAATTATCTGACTGGATTATGCACATCTCGCTTAAGTGGGGGACTTGAATGCATACGACAAAAGTTCAGAAAACACTGTACTACAGCATATCTTTCCCAAAACTCAAAAATTTTCCTCGCTACATAGAAAAAAAACTGTAAAGAAGTTCACTCTAAAGTATCACAGCTATTCACCAACGGTTAATTAATGGATTATAACACAATCCCAATTGTCACTCCAGAGTACCGAATTTTCCATCTACGCTTATCACCAGTTTATTTAAACGTAAGCCTGTGACAGGACCAGAAGGTGAGACAGAACATAACTGCACCTGGTTTGGATTTGGGCAAAGGTCGCTGAAGAGGTTGGATCATGTCACCTTGATGTCTGGAGCCTGTTTTTGAATTGAAACCAGTAAATAAAAAACATGAAAAAATGTTAGCAAATTAACTTGGATGAAGAAATTACTTAAAACATACCTCAGCCAAGGGGCACCTGGGTGGTTCAGCTGCTGAGTGTCTGACTGCCTCAGGGAATGACCTCACAGTTTATGGTCTGAGTCCCACATCAGGCTCCTTGTGCTGACAGCATAGACGGAGCCTGCCTACTCCTGTCTCCCCTCTCTGCCCCTGCCCTGTTTGTGTGGTCTCCTCACATAGTCAAACATTCAAAAAAAAAAAAACAAAAAAAAAAACTTCGCAAATACCTTGATATATGCAGACCCCTAAATCACTATTATTAGGAATTTGTACATCGAGGGGACAGTGTACCTTTAGGTATTCTTATCCAGATCATCTGTATTCTTTATTATCAAAATGATGGGAAAAGAGAGATCCCAATAAGTATTAAAAAAATAGAAACAAGTTAACACATAAATTTAACATACCTTAAGTATATAATATTTCACAGATGTGCTGTTTTAAAGGAGCACATGCACCCCAATGTTTATAGCAGTGCTATCAACACTAGCCCAAGTATGGAAAGAGTTCAAATGTCCATCGATGGATGAATGGAGAAGAAAGATGTGGTGTGTATAAATATATATATATATATATATATATATATACACACACATCAATACTACACACATCTACAATGGAGTATTACTCAGCAATCAAAAAGAATAAATTTCTTGCCATTTGCAGTTATGTGGACAGAACTAGAGGATATTATGCTAAGCGAAATTAGCCAGTCAGAGAAAGACAAATATCTTGACTTCATATGACTTTTTAAGATACAAAACAGATGAACGTAAGGAAAGGGAAGCAAAAACAATATAAAAACAAGGAGAGGGACAAAACATAAGAGACTCTTAAATACAGAGAATAAAATGAGGTTCGCTGGAGGGTTATGGGTTGGGGGATGGGCATTTTAAATGGGTAAGAGAAATTAAAGAAGACGCCTGTTGGAATGCGCACTGGGTATTATACATAGGGGATTACTCACTGGAATCTACCCCTGAAATCATTATTGTGCCATATGCTAACTTGGATGTAAATGAAATAATTAAGTAATTAGTTTTTAAAAATATGTAAAAAAACCAGAAAAAAGTCTTGGTCATCTTGAAATAGGATTTTACCTTCAGAATTCCCCAGTTTACATCGAATGCTGAGACACTTAGGTTCTCCGGTACTGACTTAAACCACCTCACCTTGCCTGCTTTTAATGGTAGGACAACAATGGCTCCCTCTGGCAAAAGAGTCTTTTTAAACTATCACTCTCCTGTTATCACGGTGATCACAGCCAGGGCTCCTTGCTTTGTCCCTTGGCACTCAAAGCTTTTACTCCACTGAGCTGGGAGTCTTGTAAACCTTTACTGTGTCGCACCTCTGAATACACCTTAGTGGCTTACGAGACAGCAGCATGATTACCTCCGGAAACGTATTATAGGTCAACAATAAAAAGTTTGTACAAACAGATGTGAATTCAAGATCATCAAATTTTGGTATATGCCAACAAAATATATTCCTGCAACCTTGGTAGAATGGGGCAAAAGGCAAAGTGTTTTCACCACTCTCTCCCTTAACCCAGGATGTGACAACAGCTTAGATGACTTAATGGAGAAAAAAAGAATTAAGGTGGAATGGAAACATTTCTTTTTCCTTTTATGCTCAGGTTTTTTTTTTAACTTTTTAAGCTTATTTTTATTTATTTTTTGAGAGAGAGAGAGAGAGAGCATGTGCAAGCATAGGGGAGGGGCAGAGAGAGAGAGAGAGAGAGAGAGAGAGAGAGAGAGAGAATCCCAAGCAGGCTCTGCACCGTCAGCACAGAGTCTGTCGTGGAGCTCGAACTCCCAATCCATGACATGATGACCTGAGCCCAAGTCAAGAGTCAGATGCTTAACCGACTGAGCCACCCAGGTGCCCCTTTTGCTTAATTTTTAAGGGTTACAAAGGAGCCCCTGATCGAGTCCAGTCCTAGCTCCTTTATCTCTGACTAAAATGTCAATTATGGTTCCGGGTGTGTTAGCACATAAGCTTTCTGTTAAATGCATCTAAAGATTTTCAAACTGAATCCCTCCCTCCCTCTCTCTATATAGTCACTTATAAGGCTATATGAGTAATTTTAGCTTATCAGGCTTATGTGTACAGAAATTAAAATTTCAAAATGTAACCTGTAACTGAGAAGCCATACATTACAGCCATACACATAAACATCACAGTCAACCCCATATAGTTTTGTGACAAGCTACAGCTTAAAAGGACCGTTTCTAACAATGATCTATACCTGCGCTTCTGTAGCTCAGATCTCCAAGAATTTTATCTCCAACTTTTCTGAGTTTCCAGTGTTGCCGTAATCTCAAAAGCTCAGAGTTGAAGTCTCTTTGCAGCTTATTTTCTTGGTTTTCAGTGACTGATTTGGTCAATCTTTCTGCCCCCTTCAATAGGATCTGTGCTGCTCCAGCCAGCGACTTCTTTTTAGATATCAACTGCAGTGTCTGAGGGTTCTAGCAAAAACAATCCAACCATACAGTTCTGTATTTGTAAATGATTTCAACATTTCTCAATAATAAAATACCTACTCAGGAGAAAATTAAGAAATTAAAGAAAAGCACTGTTTTTTTTGAAAAATAACAACCTTAACGATTTCTCCCGTCAACTCAAATGAACTTATGTTAAACCACAAACACCACACCGGACTACAAATCAGAACTCATGTGAACTCTGCCCAGTCTAGATGGGGTTCCCCTCTCGTGTCGTACAAATGCTCACCCCCAGCCCCGTGTATACCCTTCTCTGTAATCCCTGCTTCAAAGTCACCCATGATGGCGAGACCCACTATGTCCATGGACGCTAGAACAATGCTCAGCACCTACTACTTGATTTCTGGAATAAATGAATGACCCCAATGAGTACAGCTGTATAATTACACGATGGCAAGCTACCAATGTGCCTTTGGAATAAAGACTGAAGCCACACAGCATTAAAATTAATGCACTTCACTGAAGGCTGATTTCTGGAAAACTGATGAGATAGCATAATCTGTGTATTATATGTACCTACCTAAATACCCATTAATCACCACCGATTTGTGTACTCTAGTAACCGGATACACTTCCAAATAAGCCAAATTTAACAAAAGAAAGTCTTCTGGCTGCATGAATCAAAATCACCAAGTTTCATAAAATGTCACAATACTCACCTGTCAATTACAATTAAAACGTAATACATTTTTAATTTTCTGAATAGTTATGTTCCTTAACTCTACATAGCAACAGCAGAATGGCAGGTCAGCCGTGCAAGAGAAAGAGCCAGGAATTCTTTCGCACTACAGCGTAACCAAGAACGGGGAAAATTCCCATCCACAGGTTTAAAGAATAGTGCTGGTCACAATAATCTTTGGACCGTGTCAGGGAAGTGAATTCTAAATTCTTGGAGAGATCAAGAAATTCCTGGAGACCCCTCTCCGGGAAGAGCACAGGTAAAGGCCGGGGGCTAGGAATAAGGTGCCAGAGTTGTGGTCTTGGCTCTCTAACCACGGGCTGTGCTGCCTCGGAATGTGTCCCGCATCCCTCTGGGCCTCGGTGTTCTCTCTGTACAACGAAGGAACCAGGCTGAATGATCTGTAAGAAGTCTTCCAGCATGGCGTTTCTAGATTCCAAAACTATCACCACATGAGTAATTACATTCAATGCACTTTACGTACAAATGGGCAAGAACAACCATTACTTCCTCTTCTCGCCATTAACCTGGTCGTGGACCTAATGCTGCTCTTCCTTGAGAACCTCCCAAGTGGCCTCCTTAATTTCAGACTTTCCATTCACTAGTGTATCCTTCTGTTGCCTCCCTTTCATCCTCTAATGCTCAAAAATTAAACACGCTCTTCCTCAAACTGCAACAATCTCACCTAGCTTTCATAATTTGGCCTTTTTAAACCAGGCCCTAGAAACAGGTTGAGGGGAAAAGTGAGACTGAAAAAACTCACTTGCTGAAGGACCCAGGACTAATGACCGTAGAGGTGGGATTCGAACCCAGGTCTGTCTGACTCCACAGCCATTTCACTATCACGTTTTTGTGTAATATACTACAGACCAATGATCCGGGCTGTAAGAATTTGTTAAGATCTGGGAAACTTTCAAGTGTTATATTATTAATGAAACTTAACTCCTCTAAGGGTCTCAGGACCATTAATAAAATGATAAATAAAGGAGATGGGGTTTCACACCTTTGTTTTGAACCAGTCTTCACAGCTTCATCTGGACTTAATTTTGCATGAAAGGCAAAGAGCACAGAAGGCACACAGCCTGAAAAGTGGTCCTGGGACTCAATAAAATGGTATCATTATTCAATTAAAGCCCACAAATACCTGTTTTGGAGGAAGTGCATCCTGAGAGACGGGATCAAGAGTCATAAATTTTTTATCTCTAACAATACTAAGGACATCATAGAGAACACACATCTCTGTCAAGGCACTTCTCAAATTGTTCCTCACTGAGTCCCAGGGCCAAAGAGAAGGTTGAAATTTTACCAACCCTAAAAAGAGAAAGAAAAAAAGAAACACACAGGTATGAGTTACACTGACTAGAAGGCAGAAATCTCACTGAGATGTTGTAGGTACTAAAAGAACAATGATCAAATCGCTTCCTGTTTTGTCCCATTCCACATACCCTTTCATGAATCTTTGTGTTAATATTTAAGCTCGCATTCCTACAATGGCAAGACAAACATGATATCTAATTTCCACAGCTTAAATCTAACATTCCAACATTACAGGTAAGCATTTCAGTATTTTTTTTTTCAATATATGCAAGACTTGTATTTTTTTTTTTTTTAATGTTTATTTATTTTTGAGAGAGACAGAGACAGAATGTGAGTGGGTTAGGGGCAGAGAGAGAGGGAGACACAGGAGCAGAAGCAGCCTCCAGGCTCTGGGCTCGAACTCACGAGCTGTGAGATCATGACCTGAGCTGAAGTCGGACGCTCAACCGACTGAGCGACCCAGGCACCCCGAATGCAAGACTTTTAAATAACCCTTTTCTCCCAGCTTTTAAAACTTGAGTAACTGGAAGGGTGCCTGGGTGGCTCAGTCGGTTAAATGTCCAATCTCGGCTCAGGTCATGATCTCACGGTTCGTAGGTTTGAGCCCTGTGTCAGGCTCTATGCTGACAGCTCAGAGCCTGGAGCCTGCTTCGGATTCTGTGTCTCCCTCTCTCTGCCCCTCCCCTACTCACACTCTGTGTCTCTCTCTCAAAAAGAAACATTAAAAAAAAACAACAAAACTTGAATAACGAGAGAATTTCCAAAATACATTAAAGTACAAAAATAAAAGTGACCTACAGGGGCACCTGGGTGGCTCAGTCAGATAAATGACTTGACTCATGATTTTGCCTCAGGCCAAGATTTGGCTCAGGTAGGCTTGGGTAACATTCCTGAGTTCAACCCCACTTTGGGCTCTCTGCTGACAGGGAGGAGCCTGCTTGGGATTCTCTCCCTCGGCCCTTCTTGCACTGCCACGCACATGCGGGCTCTCTCTCTCTCCCTCAAAATAAACCTTAAAAAAATTTTTGTAAATGATCTATAAGGGCAGCATTCCGATATTAAAAAATGTTAACATGCCTTCCAACCTCTTAAATCACTTCATTAAATTCCACCAAATACATGCTCATTATATAGAGTTCAAATAGAGTTATAGAGTAAAAAAGTAAAAGTTTTCCTTTGTTCCCCACCCCTAGTTCTGTCCCATCCCGAGAAGTAATCAATATTAACAGTTGAGGTGTACCCATCCAACTGTTTTTCGATGCATTTATATACATTTACTTCCATGTTTCTATTTTTTTTTTTTTTTCCTCACTTAATATGTCCTACAGCTACTTCCATGTCAGTACATAGATCTATTTCATTCTTTTAACGCTATTTGACATTCTGGAGCATAGCTGTACAGTAAGTTTAACCATTCCTATTTAACGGACACGTACGTTGCTTTCCATAATGTCAGTAATGGTAAACATGCTCAACACACATCTGTGTATGTGGACAACTTTTTCTGTAGGTTAAATTCCTAGCCATGATTTAGTAGGACAAAGGAGATACACATTTAACATTTTTGACACATAGGGAACTGCTAAACCTTCCAAAAAGGCTTTACCAATTCACATTTCCAACACTGGATACTATGTTGCTAATGCACCAGAATAGTGTTTTAATTTGCCTCTCCCTAATTGTGAGATCTGAAGTCTTTTCCTGTGAGCTGTTTATGCCTTTGGGCTGTTTTTCCAGTGCCTTGTCTCCCCCCCCCCCCCCCCCCCCCCCCCCCCCCCCAGTTTGAAGGGAATCTTTGAATAGCAGGGATATTGACTACTATGTGTCCTGTATGTTGCAAATACTTTTCCCAGTCATTTATTTTCTTACTTTGTTCATGGCACCTTTTTCGGTTATTATTTTACATTTTTATGTAATTAATCTCTTTGTCTTTATATTTTCTGTATTTCCTATCTTGATTAAGAAGGTCTCTTCTACTCCCAAAGTTTTATGATTACAGTTTCCTTCCAATTTTTACTTTATTCTCTTCATTTGTATTTCAATCCTTGTGGAACTAATCTGAGTGTGAAGTAGGAGGCAGTATTTGCTTTTTACTCCCAAATGGACCCCCAGTTATCCTAACACCACTGATTTGAAACGCCATGTTTAAATTCCCATTTACACAGGGTCTGTTGCACATACCTAAATCACTGTGACTATTTTTTATCCCTGACAATAATGAAAATCCAAAACCCATTCACACTTTTTCTATAATTCTCTCCTAACCAGTCTCCCTCCTTCCAGTTTCATTTTCCCTGTAATCCATTTGCTACATAGGATCCAGAATAATCTTTTTTTTCTTAATTTTTAAAAAATGTTCATTTGTTTTTGAGAGAGAGAGGGAGGCAGAGCACGAGCAGGGGAGGGCAGAGAGAGAGGGAGACACAGAATCCCAAGCCGGCTCCAGGCTTTGAGCTGTCAGCACAGAGATGCACGCAGGGCTGGAACTCAGGGAGCTGTGAGATCGTGACCTGAGCCCAAGTTGGACGCTTAACTCAATGAGCCACCCAGGTGCCCCAAAATAATCTTTTTTAAAACAGAATCATCAGTCTACTTAAAATCCTTCAAAAGCTTTCAACTGGCTTTCTAATAAAAGTCACATGCTTATCTTGGCCTACTGGCTGTACACGATTTGGTCCCAGCCTACCTCTTAGACTTTATCTTATATTCCAGTCAATACAGACCTCTCTCTCTTTTCAGCAGGTGTAATTAGCATCATCCACATTGCAAAGGGAAGCAAAGTAACTCGACTAGACGTGGCAGAGCCGCGATATGAACCGCAGGCTTCTTCACCAAGTATGCCCCATAACAGACTTAAACGCTTCATCAGTGACAGTCCCTCAAATGCTCCAATTCAAGAAAACGTGCAGAAGGATAAGGAGTATTAGGAGGCAGGCAGCGCCCTAAATCGTCAGGCTGTGAAAAGACCACAGTGAGCACGATCACTCTTCCGCACTGAAGTTACTTTCAAAGTTCGCCCACGCACCGCATCTCGTCTAGCACGGGAGACTCAGGGTGGCATTACCTGGGCGGGTACCGGGGTCCCCAGACCGGCCGGCGGACTGGAGTAGCACACACGGGCCTTACCTTCCTCGTCGTCCTGGTCTGCGCTGGACCCGGCGCCAGCCCAGTCCTGCGCGTCCCCCTCGGCCCCCGCCGCCTCCTCCTCCTCGGAGCCCGAACCCTGGCTGAAGTCGATCCGCTGGGCCAGGCGCGCCAGGTTCTGCGACATGGACAGCGGCTGCAGGTACGTTTCAGTGCCATCCAGGCCCACCTCCTGGACCTGCTTCTCGCAGGCCGACTCGATGCTGATCCGCACAGCGCGCACCCCAGACATGCTGGCGGCGTCGGGAGGACTGCCGCGCGAGCCAAAACCCGAGGTGGGAAGGAGAGACGCCTCCGAGGAAAGCCCGCAAGCCGGGAACCGCAGTGCTTCTGCGGACCTCCGGAAACCAAACGCCGCGCTGGGGCGGGAAACAAAGCCGAGGGCTTGGCGGCTTTCCCAGAATGCACTGCAGTTCCCCGCCCCCGCTCGGAGTCTCCCGGAACCCGACTGGCAGGCACTGGCTCTCCACGCTTCCGGGGGGAGCGCTTCCGGTGAATCCCAGTGCAGCGCCGGGAAAAACTTCCTCGTCTGTAAGGAGGCGCGGCCGGCAGAGGGCGGTGGGGAGGGATCTTAGTGCCGAGGGCGCGGGCGGGCTGGTCCGTGGTGTTCGTCTGCGTTTTAAAAGTTACTTGCTTGAAGCGATGGAAGGTGGGAAGCTGGAGAAGGCCGGAAAGAAGTCGGGAAAAGGAAATTAATGGGTCCCTGGGTCTTAGCAATGAGCGTCCTTCTGAGAATGCTGAGATTTGAGGGCTTACACCTCAGGAAACATGTCTGAAGAGTGATAAAACGAAGACGTAATTTGAGGAAAACAATACATTGTGCTTATCATCTGTTTTCCCATTAGTGGTAAACTCCTGGAGAGGGACTATCTCCAGCAAGCTTAATAATAGACACTGGAGGGGCGCCTGGGTGGCGCAGTCGGTTAAGCCTCCGACTTCAGCCAGGTCACGATCTCGCGGTCCGGGAGTTCGAGCCCCGCGTCGGGCTCTGGGCTGATGGCTCAGAGCCTGGAGCCTGTTTCCGATTCTGTGTCTCCCTCTCTCTCTGCCCCTCCCCCGTTCATGCTCTGTCTCTCTCTGTCCCAAAAATCAATAAACGTTGAAAAAAAAAATTAAAAAAAAAATAATAGACACTGGCATGTAATATGAGCTTAATTTTTATTTTATGCCTGAGTAATGGAGATAAGCAATGCTTAAAGGGTTAAGAAGCAGTGGTAAAACTTAACAGTCTGAGTGCCCGAGACTATGTCATAAGTATTAATTCCACAGAGGACAGATATCGCAAAACTCCTATTTAAGGAATTGTGTCTACCATTTATCATTGATGAAGGATATGAGCAGAAAAGTGTTCACCTTTAGCCCAGAAGGCTGACCTATAGTGTGCATAGTTTTGATAAAGATCGAATAGATGCTGACGGCTGCATTCTTAAAGGGTCTCATGACTGCCTCTACATCTCACGGATAGTTAGTATCGAGCTGAATGATATGCACCAGAGAAATCTTTCGAGAAGACATTTCGGATCTAATACTCCCTGCATGTCCCCCCTTGAGCACTAAGTACATACAGAAGCACCAGCTTCACAAAGCCGAAGGGCAGCTCTTTCTGCCCATGGGGTCCTGGCCCCGTTTTATAAGAAAAGCACCTTTTTTGCACCAAAAACGTCTCAAGAATTCTTCCCTGACCATTCGCGACCCCACGTCAATCATGAGCCTTTTCAAGTTTTGTACTGACCAAGATACATTTAAGTTTTTTAATTATTTCCTAAGGTGTTTAGGAAAATAAGATTTCCCTGGTGTCAGTCTCTAAGGAAACAATATGTGGGAGTGTGTTGGGAATGTGAATTTTCAAGAGAGGAACCTATTTTTGGCAAGCTCAAGTGATTCTTTTGCACAATCCTGTTTGAGAACCACTGTACTCTATGCATAAGTTTGTAAAAGTTCTTAATACTTTATTTTAAATTTTGTGCCCATCACTGTGCTTGGTTTTAACCATACTTTTCATTTTATGTTTTTAAGGTGCTCATACTTCTGCATTTTGGCCCTGGCAACTGCTATCTCATCTGGGTTAGCTTACACACCTGAGAATCAGAATTGAGGCTGGGCTCGGCTGGTGGGTTCTACTTCAAGATATAGGTCTCCAGGTCATTCAGATGACTCTGTACCATGTGTCTTTCGTTCATTCTTCTTGGACTAGCAGGCTGCTCAGGATGTGTTCTTATGGTGATGGCCGAGGTACAAGAGAGAGGTTTTGCCTGCATTACATGTCTAACAATCACATGGCCCATGGCCAAGCCTAAAAGTCAAGGATAGGAGAGGGGACACTCAGCCTTTTCAGTTGCAGAAACTGCAGAGTTACATGGAAAGGGGGTATGGATAAAGGGAGGATCAAGGCCAACAATCTATCACATATGGAAAATCATCCAGTTACATTCCCCTATCTCACACCATAAATAAAAATTCCAATTGGATTAAAGATGTAAGTATAAAAAAAAAGTGAAGTCTTCTGCAGACTCAGATATATGTATGAGGCTAAGTCCTGCTTAAAGAGAAGTGTTCTATGAAAAAATATTTGTCACATTTTGAGGGTTCATGGAGCTCAAATCTTCCAAAGGGAAGAGATGAACCATCCTTAAGGGGTGAGGAGACAGAGATCTGCTAGGCTCTCAATTAAAACTCCACAGAACACAAGGAATAACAGGCTATAAGCAGGGGTGGCCTGAGTCTTATTTAAAATGTAACCCAGAGTGCCTCGGTGGCTCAGTCAGTTAAGCAACTGACTTTTGATTTCAGTACCTGACTCTTGATTTCAGCTCAGGTCTCACGGTTCATAGGATTGAGCCCCATCCATGTCAGGCTCCACCCTGACAGCTCGGAATCTGCTTGGAATTCTCTCTCTCTCCCTCTCTCTCTGCCCCTCCCTCGCTCATGGGTACTCTAAGTAAATAAATAAACTTAAAAAAGTAAAATGCAGCCCTACCCTATTCCAGCTCAGTCTCTGATTACACTGAGGAAATCGGTCTCTCACTTTATCTACCTAACAAAAGAAAGATGGAAACCCTCACCGTGGAAGATACCTGAACACACAATATCCAGCATATGATAGCAGTAAATGTAAAAAGGCAGGCAAGAGTGACTGATAATAAAAACCTAAAACAATAGGAACATATCCATGGATGATCAAAACATTGGAGATGGTAGGCAAGAACTTTAAAATAACTGAACAGTAATGTTAGATGAAAATGGAGAAAATGGATGAAAGGTTTCAACAGAAACTGGAAATGATTTTCTAGTCTATTGGTTTGATTGTCATCACTGTGCCAAAACCACACTTTTACTTTCACAAGTTTATAAATTTTGATATCAAATACCCTTGACCTTGTTTTCTTGAAAATCACCTTTATCTTGGCCCTTTGCTATCCCATACATTTTCCAATCAACTGGTTCTATGGAAAGGCCCACTGGCATTCGACTGGCATTGAATTGAATTTATAGATTTGACAAGAAAGGCTTCTGATGCTTCTATGATATTGCATTTTCCTAGATAGAAGTATTTATTTTTCATGTTTTTAGGTTTTCAACAGTTTTATAATGTTCCCCATGATGGTTATATATAATTTTTGGTAAATGAAAATATTGCTATGTGCTTTTGATAGCATTGTAATTGATATCTTTTTCAAATTTACATTTTTAACTATTTCTTACTGGTATGAAGAAATGTAACACATTATTAAACATTGATTTTATATTTTGAAATCTTCTTGAATACAGTCTAGTAATTTCACTAGAAACTCTCTTGGGTTTTCTAAGAATCAATCATGCTTTCTGCCAAAAATGTTTGTCTTCCTTTTCAGTCATTATTCTTTCTTGTTTGCTTTTCCTGGCTAGAACCTCCAATAGTTGATAATATTGGACACACTTGTCACGTTTCGAATTTTAAAGTAAGCATGGCATTAACATAAAACTTTCTGAATACATGTATAGCATTTACAAAACTACGTTTACACGCTTCTCAGAGCATGCACTAGATGTTTGCTGCCCAGTCAGGTGATTCTATTTTGTTCACAACAGCCTCTTACTGCTTCTTTTTTTTTTTTTAATTTTTTTTTTAATGTTTATTTATTTTTGAGAGAGACAGTGACAGAATGCGAGTGGGTTAGGGGCAGAGAGAGAGGGAGACGCAGAAGCAGAAGCAGAAGCAGGCTCCAGGCTCTGAGCTGTCAGCACAGAGTCTGACACAGGGCTCAAACTCATGAGCTGTGAGATCATGACCTGAGCCGAAGTTGGATGCTCAACCGACTGAGCCACCCAGGCGCCCCAGCCTCTTACTGCTTCTCAAACATACCAAATCCCCTCCTGTTCCTGGACCTTTGAATCTGCCAAGAAGGATGTTTCTCCAAATAACTTCATAGCTCACTTTCTCATTTCTTTCAGGTCTTTGCTCAAGTGTCTCTTTATCAGAGTCTTTTTCTGATCTCCCTATATAAAATGTGTAATAAGGAACCTAATTCCACTTTTTTTGTTTGACTGTTGACAGCTGTTAAGCCTCACTCCCCTCTCTTCCCATTCTGCTCCATATTTGAGCAAGCCTGGCTGCTCCTTCTTTGACACTTGTGGGAAATTTAAACTGCATATGGAACCATCACCTTGGCCCTAACTGTTCATTACCACAGAAACCCCAAACCAGGCTCCTTTCTCTGTTCTCTCAGCCATTTTTGGACCTGCTTGGGAGCTGTCCTGCTTTCCCCAGAAAGCCTCATTATGCAAGCGGCAAATCCTTTCATACCCTGTTGGGGTGTATGTGACTTTATCGGTCTTGACACCCAAACCTAATTTGGGGTGATGAGTCCATCCTGTCTCATGTGGGATGGACTCAACAAAATAGCATCCTCCTTGGGGGTGCCTGTGTGGCTCTGTCGGTTAAGCGTCCAACTCTTGGTTTTGGCTCAGGTCATGATCTCACGGTTCGTGAGATTGAGTCCCACATCGGGCTCTGCAATGACAGCATGGCTCGGGATTCTTTCTCCTTTTCCCTCTGCCCCTCCCCTGCCCACGTTGTCTCTTT